AAAAAAAAAAAAAAAAAAAAAAAAAAAAATTGATATTAAGAAAACATCTTGTATAATATTCTAATGTCTTGACAGTTAGTCTCGTCAACTTTTTTTGTTTATCCTTTCTTCATTTCTTCCTTACTTTCACCCTTATGAAATATCCCAAGAAGAAGGTTTAACTTTAGTGAAAGATAACGAGAAAGAGAGAAAGAGAGAGAGAGAGAGAGAAACGTGTGTGTAATATTCCGAGAAACTCGTGTACCTTTATAACGAACCGAAGAGACAAGAACGACGACAGGGACCTAGACAAGGATGAAAGTTAGAAAGAGAAAAAGTATTCCCCCTCCCCCCACTACCATCAGCAGCACCAGGACTAAGGACGAAGGACGGCAGGAAAGAGGGCTTAACTTTACGGTCGAGACGGATAAAGTACGTATATTAACGTCACGAGACCATACCAGAAAAGCCCTTTGTGAATACACGTCTCATTGTGTTACGTAAAATCGTATTATACGTAACGAAATACGCACACACGCACACACACACACACATGCACACACACTCTTGTTTCTCGTTCTACAATTGTCTTGAACTTATTAGACAAAAAAATATATCAATGGAAACTTTATGTACAAACTACGATCGATTGGATGTAAGATCGAATAATGAAAGGGAAACTTTATCTTCGTGTAATGTAATCTCGGAAAAGTAAAAGGAAAATCAGGTCACCGAGGAAGTTTTTTTTTTTTTTGAAAAAAAAAAAAGAAAAGATGTTATTCACATTTACTACCCCTTATTGAACGATTAATTGCAACGATTAAAATTATTATCACGCGAATTACTAAAATTCCGGTGCCAAATGAAATGGCAAAGCTCATTAACTGCACGCGAGCAATTGTATTATAATATTACTTACACGCATGTTTGCTTAAACAACGACGTGGTATTTTTTGTTTTTCCTTATTTTCTGCCAACGTTTCGTCCAATTAAAACGACTAAGTGTATCAAGATGTTCACGTGATGATTTGGATCGGATTTGGATATCTGATGACATTCCTCAAGAGATATGGTCAAAGTGCTATTGGATTGACCTTTCTGATCAGTGCAGTACTCGTACAAGTCGCTTTAATCTGCGAAGGAGTTCTACATTTTGATAAAAATAACAAGGCTTACTTATCTTTATCAAGGTTCGTATTACAAATTATTATTGATCTTACGAATGAATTCAAAATCGTAATCATAGAAATTTGGCAAAAAAATTCATCAAACGTAGTAGTATCTCGAATGATTTTTAGAAAACTTCGTACTGTTTTATATCGTCGTAAAGAAAAAGATAATAAAATCGTTCATAAAAATTCAACATTTGAAAAAAAGATCATTCAAAAGATATAAGCTACATAACCCATCCATTCCCATTCGTCGTCGTTTGAAAAGAGAGAGAGAACATTATGAATATTAAATATATTCTAACATATCTTCTTTTTGAATTTCTCTTTTCTGTATCCTCTAGCAAGCATGAATTTAATAATTCATGTTAAATATTAAATCAATCGATCTGAAAATTGTATCAATTTCTAGTCTGCTCAGTGCCGACGTTGCTGTCGCAGCTCCATTAATATCAATGGGAGCTCTTCTTGGTAAGACGACCTATATGCAACTCGTATTTATGGGTATCGTCGAACTGATCGTATACACCATCAACAAGTACATCAACGAGCATCATCTTATGGTAATTTCAATTATATGAAATATTCTTACATTAATAAATCTAACATAAGTATTATTTGTGGATCGTTGTATAAACGATCAAGAAGAATCGTATTATTTAAAATAATAAAGCTACAAATTTATCAAAATAAAAGTTTGATTAAAAAAAGGGATAAGATTTATTTTCAATGCTGTATGTTCAATATACTTCGATGGGAGATATTGAAAAGGTAGAAAGAAAAAAGTTAGCTGGTTCGCATTTGTGGGTCGGGTCAGTTCACGTTCACACACCAGCTGTCCGTGAAAATCGATCTACGATAGGTCAATACGATAGCTCGACTATAACCCTCGAGCCCTCCTGTCTTATTCTTTTATTCCCGAGTGCAACGGAATGAAAAGTTTGTTCGCATTTCATAGGCCGTCGATGCCGGTGACAGCATGTACGTTCATGCATTTGGTGCATATTTTGGATTGGCAGTCAGTTTCGTCTTTGGTAGGAAAGATAAACCAAAGGAACATCATCTCGAGGGACCCTCCTATCAATCAGATATATTTGCAATGATTGGTAAAAATAATTGCTAAAATCGTTGATAGAAAAATAAATTAATAAATTGATGGATGAAAATTTGTGCGTGAATCAAAAGGTACGGTCTTCCTCTGGCTGTTTTGGCCGTCGTTCAACAGTGCATCCCTCGATGGGGATAGCCAACAGAGGGCTATAATAAACACTCTCCTCTCGATCTCGGGAAGCTGCGTGATCGCCTTCGCCACGTCCGCTCTAATTTCAAAGGATAACAAATTCAACATGGTCCACGTACAAAACTCAACTCTTGCTGGTGGTGTTGCCATCGGCACTGCCGCAGGTATTTACACTATACCATTTCCTCTAGCTTAATTGCTGGTAATTACAGGACCATTCGTAACCAACACGCCTTTAAACATTCGATCCCATCGTATTATACCTCTAAAAGCATATCCTAACACGAAGCGTATGTAGCAAATGGAATATTATTCTACAATGTTCTTCTTCTCTTTCCTAACAGGTATGATGTGTAAACCGATCGGAGCACTGATCATTGGTTCTTTGGCCGGTTTGCTCAGTGTCCTCGGATACAAATATCTAACGGTATTTGATATTTATCTTTTAATTAACGACTGAAGTTAAACGAGCTCGCAATTAACGCCCGCAGAGTGACCGTGTTTTCCTTCGTTTGACCGAAATTCAAAATCACACTTGATCTGTTATACGGGTTAATTTAATGCAACCAATTTCTAGTATAGTTTATATAAAATACCAAACGCGCGAAACACTAATTTCCTTTATTTTTATATCCTCCCATGTTTCTTCCTTACAATAGGGCCAATCGTTTAAAGGTGGTTTCAAACTTTGGGTCAGTAGTTAATAAATTATCGACTGAAAAACCAATTAAGAAAAAACTTTGAAATTCCCTTAATCTTGAATGAAAGCGGTTGAAGTAAATTATCTATCCACAGACACCCTTTCTAAAAATAGTTTAAAGTTCTTGGTCATCGTTAAACGAATCCATCAACCCTTTTCTCTCTCTCTCTCTCTCTCTCTTACGTGGAACATTTTGCGGTTTAGGAGTAAGAGCCGATCCTAGTTGCCCCCGCAAACGGAAGTTCCCATAGTATAGGGTTTTTTTTTCCCCCATAGTATTTCTTGTACATTTCTGGTGGTCCTAGTGCTAACTAACAAATGAATTTTTAGTACGAAAAGTAGACTTCTAATGTTCTAGACAATTTTATATTCTTTGATAGCCGTAAGAAAGTTGAAATAAGTAAATAAGTAAGTAAAGTAATAGTTGTCTTGCCTATATATATTTTCAGCCATTTATACAGAAACGGCTGCGTATCCACGATACTTGTGGGGTTCACAATTTACATGGAATGCCAGGAGTGCTCGCTGGAATTTTTGGTGCGATCATGGCAGCACTTGCTACCCAGAATTCTTACGATTATTCTCTTTACGAGGTATCGTTATTCTCTAAGAACATCCCTTAACTTTTTACTTCTCTTTCTATTTTCAAAAAAGGTATATCTACAAACGGAGTTTGCCAAATTTTTAACCATTGTATAAATTCTATCGTTGAAAAATTATCTTTCTTCTTATTTTCATTTTTTAGTTTTTCTTTATTTTTAAAACTGTGATCACCCACGCCCCAGTCGTGTAAAATAACCTAACTCGCCCGATTCTAAAATCTTCCAAAGTATCATTCAATTTTGTTTACCTTTCGTTGCTCTGTACTTAAATTTTACATTTTTAAATATTCTTACAGATTTTCCCAGCAAGAGCACCTAACTTTGAAAAATTAACTTCCGAGATGAGGAACGATTACGGCATTTTACCTGGAAACGATAGAACAGCGTTAGAACAAGCAGGTTATCAAATACTTGCATTGACCGTTACCTTACTAATGGCTTCCATTTCTGGTGTAATAACCGGTAAGAAAATACAAGTGAATTCGTATATACGCACTCACAATTCCAAACTTACAATTCCGAACAATATATTTGCAATAAACAAAAACCTATTTTTAAATTTATAAAAATTTATAAAAGAACTTGTACCACTTCTTTTCCGAGTTGGAAAGATTAATTATTTTTTCGCGACAAGCACAAACGAATTACGATTCGCGATCACTTATTTTCATTTCTTTTGAATAAACATAAATCAACAACAATTTTAAATGTATTTACTTCAAAATTATACAATTCGTTTTAAACAATTAGAAATGAATTGGGAACGCGCGTTAGAAATCGCGGGAAATCGCGGGAAATCGCGAACGTTATGCGCGATTTCAAACGTAGAAGAAGAAATACGCATGCGCCTTGCAAACGCGCGAAAACGAATAATTTCAATTTACGCACGCACGTGTTCATACATTTTGCCATCATTGTTTTTTAGGATTAATTCTGCGTACATCTGTTTGCGGATCTGTCGCAGAGGAAGACAAATTCGACGACGCTGTTCATTGGGAATTAGAAGAAGAAGAAGAAGAAGAAGGCTTACATGAAATTTCCAAAATAAAAGAAAGAAATAGTCGAGCTAACGATCAATTACCAATGGGTACTATTTGAAATATATATTGAATACTTTCTCTTATTTCTTTCTTATCAAATCTTATTTAAATTCACCTTTATTCTTATTGTTAGATTTAATGATACTATTGTGAAAATGTAAAGAAAAGAATTTATGGATAGATCGACCAATTGTAACAAAAGTTTTAAAAGAAAGACGATAATGAAATAAAAACGAATCTTTTCAGATGCTTTTAAATAAATCTCAATAAAATATCAACAATCGTAAACTATATTATTTCTTATCAATAAAAAATAAAAAAAATATCCACGATGACAATTTACAGTTACAAATAGAGATACAACATTGCGAACAAACAAAGTAATACTTTGGATGATTTTAATAAATTTCCATTATAAAACTGTTATATTAAATCTATACAATATAAATATAATGTTAAATAATTTGTAATGTAATCTATTAGGAATGCTGAATGATTGTGAGGTCACCGATGATATCTTAATTAATATCAAGAAATTAAAGAAATTTTATCTAATAACTGTTTTTTAAGTTAGATTTTTTTAAAAGTAATTTATATTTTATTTTCATTATAAACTGTAGTCTTATTTGTTCTTTTATTTCTTTTTTGCTACTTTCTTCATATATGTATATATGGATAAATCAATTTCATTACAAATAAATAATATTGCAATTTCATTTATAGTTGCTGTTTTCTGTACCGTTCATTTCATCAGAGCATGTACAACAGCTTTGGCATTCAATGATTTTAAATCTGTATAAGTTTGACCAGTTCCAACAAAAACAATCGGCTGACCGGTAATATATGTCATCGAAATAGCTGCACCCACCTAAACATTTTATTTATCGATGGATTAAAATACTAAAATAATCATAAATCTATTATTAAAATAAATATTTATAAATGTTGCACACCTTGTCATCGATAGTGTCAAACTTAGTTAAAACAATGCCATCGATAATATGAGGATTCGTAGAATTACTATAATCTGCTAGAGCTTGATTGAATTTGACTAGTTGGTCTACAGCTTCGTTTCCAACAAGAGCCTCGCCAACAAATAATACCAAATCTGGTTCATTAACTTTAATCAATTTAGCTAGAGCTCTCATTAAAGGTTCATTATCTTGCATTCTTCCCGCAGTATCTATTAAAACCACATCGAATCTGGAATCTTTAGCAAATCTGATAGCTTCCATAGCAATACCAGCTGCATCTTTCCCATAACCTTTTTCATAAAGTTGAACCATTGATAAATTTCCGTGTTTCTCTGGAGGGTGAAGTGCATTTAGATGACGCATATGAGTTCTCAATTGCTCTACTGCACCAGCTCTAAAAACGAAAATCATCTTATATCAGAACAATTCAATAACTGTTCTAAATAAAATGGAAAAACACAAAAACACGTTGGACATATATAATAAGGGTTCCCACATAAAAGTCGTCGTCCATTGAAATGAATATACGTGCATATGTATAATTGAATATTTGATGATTACCTAAATGTATCACACGCAGCAATAAGTACACGAAAGTTGTTTTCTATTAACCAAAAGCAAATCTTAGCCAAATTGGTAGATTTGCCAACTCCATTAACACCGCAAAATGACATAACGTATGGTCTATTATTCTTTTTAGCTTCGAAAGCATCTCTTAAAATATCAACTCTCCTTTTAGGAGATAATATTTGTACCAACGAATCGGTTAAAGTGGCTTTAATCGTACTCGTTACACTATCAAATGTACCAAGAACCTTTCCTTCCAATTTCACTCGAACAGAATCGCATAACTTTTGCGCAATATCAGCTGCTACATTTTTAGATATCAAATGATCCTTGAGTTTGTCTAAAACCGGAAGCATATCCTCCTGTTTTAAAGATTTATTGCCAACAAGGCTCTTAAACATAGAAAACATGCTATTTGCTTTCTTTTGTACTTGTGGTTTCGAATTTTCTATTTCCATTTCGTCAGAATCTTCATCATCGGAATCACTCTCAACTTCCAAATCGCGAATAGTACCCTTCATTTTACCCACCAACTAATAAAATACGAGATATGGAAAAAAAAAATCAAGTTAAAATAATCCTTGAAATATTACAAATAATCGTGTAAGCATATTAATTACATGCAATGATATTTACTCCTGTATCAGCTGGAACGTAATCGCCTATTTCTTCCGGTTTGTCTTTGGTACGTTCCAGCGAAGCGAGATCTTTGGTAGTACCCCCTAGTTCCCAAACTCGTGGTTTCTTTCCCGCTTTTTCCGACTTCGAACTTTTTCTATTAATGAATAAACGAGTAAACATTTTACTTATATACATATATATGTACACTCAAAAGCATTAATTTAGCTTACTGCTTATCATTTTTTTTCTGTAGCCCTTTCAATTTTTGGGACAGCTTAATACGATTTGCAATAAGTGTTTCTTCTTTATCCATAATTCCGATTTGTGGTTTAGAAGATTCTAAGATTGGTGCTTCTTGCACCTTTGCTAAAATAATTAAGTATATAATAATTTGATATCAATGCTATGAGAAAAATGTAATAAATTATCGTTAAACATGCATCTGCGGTTAAATTGTTCAATAATAAGCAAGGTGAGAAGGCAACTTACTATCCTCAATTTCATTATTGTTAATAGTTCCCTTCTTCTTTTTACCTGAGAAGCAAAAACCCAAATGTTGTTAGTCGCAGGCAGACAGACTAACCGTTGAAGTACCATGTCAGATAATTATGTTCTATATAAACTACGAAAACAATATATATACATATATTTACTTATTGACAAATAAATAGATAAATTATATACCCTGTTTTTTATTCTCCTTATCGTCTTTTCTCTCTATCATACTAGCAACAGTCTTTTTAGATTTAAGACTCTCATCAAAGGTACGCATTTGTTTAGGTATTTTAGCCTGTGCCCGTGCCCATTGCTCAGCGGCAACCAATACATTATTATAATTTTGTTGAAATTCAAAATTCGTAAACCACTGGGACGATTCCAATTCATTTTTAAATTTATCTCTAAATTGAAGATGTATGTCGTTTAAAAATTTATCTACGTACGACAATTGAAGTATTTTTTGATACGCTACTACAAATACTAATTCAAATTCATTGTCAAGTTTATATTGTAAACGTAATGATTCATGCTCGAACGTGTGATTTCCAGTACGTTCCTAAGAAAAAACAATAAAAAAAGCAATTGATTACGTTAATTGTCATTATCGATGAGATTGATTAAAACATGAAATATTTGATATAAAAAAGAAAAAAACATGGATAAAAATATTATTGACATGAGATATAAATCATGCCAGATGTTTGAAATGCTTACTTGCAAAATAACACTCCTAATTAAGGCATTAACGCTGGGTGTAAAAATTTGCGAAGTACTTTGAAAACACCATAAAACAATGCCACCTTTACTAAATATCGTAAAAAGGTCGAGCATGATTGTATAATATTTTAATAATAAAGAAAACCGTAACACATTAATCTCCGAACTAACCTATCAATGATATCGCAATTTTGTACACGTCAGAATGCGTCAGATAATCTAACTGACAGTAGTGGTGTAACCTAAAAAAAGAAAAATGAAAAAAAGTAATGCAATGATACCAACGATGAAAAAACAAAAAATCACTATACTCTAGTAACTTCCGATAGGAGTCAATGAAAATGTACGACAGATGCAATCGTAGTAAGAAGAAGAAAGATGGCAGATCGGAGATGAGAATGGAAATACTAGAAATTAAATGGAGGATATTTTGAGGTTAGTAATGGCGGCGGTTTGCCGGTGGTGCCAGCTATCGAGTGTTGCTAAATCGTGTTTGGTTAGGGCGCGGAGTGTGTGTGGGGCGGGGGCTGTAAAGGGGGTTGGTATATCGCTGACGTCACGTTCGGGAATGTCCGTGGACACTCGAGTAGCCCGATCTCGGCCGAACGGGTCAATGTCTGAGGAGGCTTCGAAAAATCCGTGCCTGGTGTGGTGTTCCCGTGTTCGACGAGTAAGTGGAGAAGAAGTTGTCGTCGTTTATTGTCAAAAGAATAAAGACTTATTTTCACGTTGGCTAAAAGAAGGCCAATCGTTGAGCCAATATCGAAGTAAAATCATATTGCTCGATTTCGATATCATTCGTTACAGGATATCGGATAGGGAACGAAGAAGAAGAAGAAGATTACGACGACGACGACGACGACTACGTCAGGAGGTGGAGGAGGTGGAGGAGGAGGAGGTGGTGGTGGTGAAGAAGAAGAAGGAGGAGGAGGAGGAGGAGAAGAAGGTAGTGGAAAAGAAGAACAAGGAGAACAACACGACGACGACGAAGAAAAAGACGTGGGGACAATTATTCAACGTTTTGGCGTTTGTAGTTACAAAAAGTCCTAGTCCTACGCCCCCGTTGTTTAACCGTATTATTACTTCCGCGTTTAAAGCGACAAAATGTCGTGAGCCTCTCTGGCAAGTTGCTCGTGAGAAGCCTGCTGAGAAAAGAGATAGGAGAAAGAGCTGGAGGAGGCGAAGAAGAAAGAGGAGGGAAGAGGAAGAACTGTACTGAGAAACGAGAGGACGGTTCCTGCCAACAGCAACGGCGGACGGACGGGAGGACGGACAGACGGACGGACGGACGAGAGTTGGAGAAGTGGAAGAGAGGCGTAATACAACCAGGTCAAAAGGGGAAAGACTAAACCAGAGGCTACCTAAATCCTAAGAAAGGAAACAAAAAAGTAGTGGTGGTCTTTCGGCGCTCATTAATATTCCTAAAAAAATTAAGTGTGCTATTGTGTGAAGGAGCGAGAGAGAGAGAGAGAGAGAGAGCGAGCGAGAGCGGGTGAGCGAGCGTGCGTGCGTGCGTGCGTGCGTATGAGAGCGAGCGAAAGGGTGATAGATAGAAAGAGAGAAAGAAAAGGTAATAGTAATATAGTGCGGTGGTAGAGTAGTAGTGGTGGTGTGGTGCGTCGAGCCGATGATTTTCCCCCCTCGCGCGCACGACCGTGGCACACGACGTTGAAAAGGGACGGACGACGACAACGACGGTGAGCGATCTCGCTTGCGCGCGCGCACACCCGCCGAAAGAAAGAGAGAGAAAGAGTAAGAGAATCGTAGGAGGAGAAGAGAAAAGAGCGTTCGAAGAAGAGGCGAGAGGTAGCGCGAGCGTCGAATTACCGAGGAGAACAGAACAACGACGACGACCAAGAGGGCTTACGTGTGTGTGCCCGAAAAGGAATTTCTAATTAATTCGTTTGTTCATTCGTACGCGCATATATCGGTGATATCCAATCGGAATTAAAAGATCCAGTCTCTCGAGTCGCTCGCACGGTTGCTTGCTTTAAATCGTGTTGTGTAGTTAACGGTGCTGCTGTCGTCGGTGGAGGCGAAGAAACCCGAGCCGTGATCCGAAGTACTGCGGTTAAAGAAGAAGGGAGAAAACGAACGAAAGAAAGAAAAAGATAGAAAGAGTGCGGTTGGTGCGCCTTGCTCGTTCGCATTCGTTCGGATTGGTTCGCGTTTATTCGCGTTTATTCGCGTTTATTCGCGTTTATTCGCATTGGTTCGCGCGTACGAACCATCCCGAAAACATCGACCCCTACCTCCCTCTTCAGGTTACCACTGAAGTCGTTGCCGACGTTTTACTACTACGAGTGTTATCTCTATCTCTGTCAGAATAGAGAGATATAAAAAATAAAAAAAAAAGGAACAAATAGACGGAATAAATAATTAGACAAATATTAACTCTATCTCTCTTTTATTATCATTGCGGTACGTGCTTGACCGAGAAAATAAAAAGATAAAAAGAAAAAAAAGAAAAGATTAAAGAGATTCGAAAAAAGTGGCGCTTGGGCTACCTAACGGGAGTTACTAGATTTTGACCGCAACGCGTCGCTGCGATCACGAGAGAGAGAGAGAGAGAGAGAGGCAGGCTCGACGCCTCCGTCCGTAAAATCGCGCCTTCGATCGGCGATCGCGCGTCAAGGGTTCCCTCCCCCTCTTCGTCATCTTCTTCGCTCTGTGTGGTATCCTCTCTTCGTCCCTTTCCTTTTAACATTACCAATAGCGGTAGCAGCAACCACAGCAATAGTTAATTAAACTACTATTACACACCTACACACAGTCACTTATTACACTATTAAAATCTACTGTTACTCGCTCTTCTCATCCGTCATCATCGTCGTTGTCGTCGTCGTCGTCGTCGTCGTCGTCGTCGTCGTTTTCTTCGTTTCGTCATTGTACGTCGTTGGTGTCGATGGTGGTAGTGTTGGTGGTGAAAGAGGAGGAGGTGGAGTTAGTAGGAGGTGGTGGTATATAGAGGTGTAGGTGTATAGTGTGTCGTAACGCGAAGGTGTCGCTTCGTTGTCATCGTCGTCGTCGTTGCTGTCGTATTTAATCGGTGTCGTGTTGTGTCGTGTCGTGTCATATCGTGCATGCGTGAGTAGAATAGATTGGAAAGACAAAAAGGGTTGTTGAAGAAGAAAAAGTTAAAAAAAGAAAAGAAAAAGAAGAAGAGAGGAGCAAGTCAGCCAAAGAGGCTGCTGCTCGCGCCTGCAATGTGATAATCCTTTGTAACGTCATTGATGTCCGAGGTGGTGTCGTCTAGGAGGACAACGCGTTATTACCAGGTCCCTCCTTGTGAGGCATTTGCGAAGAGAAGGAAAAGGAAGCGGCACGGCCGGCCGACCAGGCGGCGGCCAGCGGAAGCAGCGCAGCCGCGCCAATAGCGGCCCTGCCAGGTGGAGCTTCCTCAGCTCCCGGCTTCAGGATGAGCGGCCGACCGAGGACCACCTCCTTCGCCGAGGGCAACAAGCCGCCCGCGAATCCGCCCCTCGGCGGCGTCAAAATCAGCAGTGAGTACTTACCACCTTTCTCTATACACCTACCACTCTCTATTTGCCTTTACCACTACTACACTTACATTCTCTATTATAATCTCCTACCCTCCCTCTATCTCCAGGTGGGTTAACATATCCACCCTATCTACCACCCAACCCCCACTCCATTTTCCTACCAACCACCCCCGTATCTCCTACACTATTACGCCTGGGATCTTCTATCCAACTTACCGAATAATACAGTACACACAAGACTTTATGAAGAGAAAAAGTATAAACCTTACACGCATTTTTCCTTTCATTTTCTTCTAATTTAATCAATAGAGATCTAATCTAAAACAATACGTAAAATTACAATTACCATTCCCCAATTAAATGAATTAATATATTTTTAATGATATTTAGATGGATCAATTTTGTAACACTTTCTGTTTGTTTCCTTTGTTAATTACCCTTTTTCGTAATAATTATTTAACGATCAAATAATAAAAGCAATACTCATTTGAATAGTCTCTAAGTATTTTTTAATGGTTGCCTGATGACATTTATTTGTTTCTTTCCAATCGTCTTATGATCTCATTAGTACTCCTCCGTTGACTCTTGAGTGGTAGAAATGTCATAAATCGAATTGTTTCGTTAGTTCTTCCTTCGCCATTTCTTTTACGTATTGCGACGACTTCAAAGTTATCTTCGATCGATTTATACGAAAGTAATTTTTTTTATTATAAAGTATCAACAATTTTCAATGCAGATAAATAAGAAATATTGTAACTATATATATGTATGTTTTTTTTTTTTTTTGTTAAATATAAATAACTAAAAATGTCTGGCATTATACTTATTGGTCAAGCAATTATTTGCGTACGTGCGCGCGCATTACTTTGAAACGGCATTTAACCGCGCCACGTGCTGGATGAACCTCCTATCGATGAAAGCGCATCCTATGCGTTGCATTCTTGGCGGCCACCTGATTTACGTACACGTTCCTGCTTCTCGATAGAGATCAAAAGATAAAGACAGAACATTTATATATATGTGTATGTATGTATGTATGTGTGAAGACATACTCGTCCACGGATTGACTTTCCTTCGTTCGTTAGTAATCGCGAAGAACGAGTTGCATCTTGACGCGTTTTAAAAAAAGGGGAATCCCTGTTTGCCACGTGTGCACTTGTTCGTTACTTCTTCATATAGAAATTCAAAATAAAAATATTTCTTCGCGTGTGATTAGTGCGTTTATGTTGTTAATGTTTGTATGCGTGAAAAGGATCACAAAATTATTGGAAAATTTCATTTTATCGTAGTTTTTTTTCTTTTTTTCTTTTAATCGTGAATTATTTTAAATTATAATCGAGATAAAATTCTACGTAGATGCTGCAATCGATTCCCGAAGAGACTTGTAAGTTCGTGTTATTTTTTTTGTATGCATTTAATATAATTGCAGTTTCAATAGTAGCAGTTCGTTATTGGGGAAGAAACACTCGTGTTGAAGTTTTATAGTTTCGCTGTCTTTTATATCCTACGATTATTTTTCATTGGGGAATCATTTAATCATTTTTCTTTATTTATTTCTTGCAAAGAGAAGAATCATTCTTGACGTTGCTGTTACTAATACTTTGATGGTGGTATTGCTTAGTGGTAAGATAGTACAGGCAAGCAGGCAGGCAGGCAGGCAGGCAGAGTTAGAGTAATACTAAAAACAAAATAAATGTTTTCCTCGGGAATACTTGGGTCCATAGACTTGGGATACTCTGAGGCCATCCGACCTTTTAAATTATTCCTACTTCTTTTTCCAAGCTCACGAATTCTCCATGTGAATAAAATATTCCTCGTATGTGCCAGCAAATATCGACCGTCTCTGACGCAAGAGAAGAAAAAAAAAGAGAGAGATAGAGACAAATGTACAGAAAGTAAGAGTAAGATAGAAAGAGACAGAGGACAGTTATATGTAACGTACATAAAATAAGAGAAAAAGAAGAATAAAAAAGATAGGAAAGGAAAGGAAAAGAAAAGAAAAGAAAAGAAAATAGACTATTTACATGTAACAAGTAAAAGAGTAAAAAGTATTCTCGCGTATACAGAAAATTAGAGAAAGAGAAATATTGTTTGTACAAAAAGAGAGGAATAATTCTAAACGTTCACAGAGTTTCTTCTATCTCTCTCTCTCTTTGATATTTTTTTTTATTTAACTAGCAGCATGCCTTTCCTTTTTCTTCTTTAACATCTTAAGCATGTTACGTGTAGGTTGGAGATACGAAGGGATCCTTTATACGTACACACACACACATATATATATATATATGTATACAATATGCTTATGCGTTTTCTTCTCATTTGATATATACATATATATACATATATAGTTTGGACGTTTTCCAAAGGTCTTCTTTAACCCACTTAACTGCCAAAAAAAAAGATGACGCATGTTACGGTGCACTGCCGATAGATAATACGTCGTTAACTTATCAAACGAAATTATGCATATACTTGTATGCATATTAATACGCGGTCACGCTTACATATATATATATATATATATGTGTGTATAAATGTATACGCGCATTATCGATGTATGCTTTAATATGCGTTAACTCGTCGATGCGGTTAGTATAATATATCAATCCCTTTCGATCGTTTCATTTGCCATATTGGAGAATCTAGGTTGAATTTATTGATCCTTGATAATATTAATTAATATGTCAATTACATTTGAAAATAAGATTTATAATCAGATGTTTTTTTATATATATATATATGTTTTATTATAATTGTATTTATTATTAAAAAATTTGTAGTTCATTTAAAAAAAAAAAAAAAAAAAGAAAGTGAAATATACCACACGTAATAAATGGAATGAATAATTAAATGAATTGAATTATTAATGAATAACGTTGTTAAAGTAATCGTATGTGAATGATACGACAGTTACTAAAGTGTATATTTTGACAATCTTATTATTGGTCATTTAAACTCGATAAGGTTTATTCTCCGAGGACAAGAAAAGGGTGGGTGGTTGGTTGGGTCAAAGAGAAAAAGGAAGAAGTATTATAAGCTTGATTATATTATAAAAGACCGTGCGTCGATTATAATTTCGTGCCAAAATCATATATGTATATGTATATGTATATATAACGACCCCGACGTGTCACAGGTACGAGAATAGCATCGGACATGTTTCACCGTCTCAGCTTTTCAGCTTTTCAACGGGAAAGTTTATACGGCGCTATACGTAAATCCGATAGCCACTAAAGAGAAAAAGAGAAAGACAGACAGACAGAGAGAGAGAGAGAGAGAGAGAGAGAGACAATCTCATAAATTAAATGATGATTCCCGAGAGAGGAGGACTTATTCTCGATTTCAAAGCTTATTATCTATTCCTTTTTACCTTTACAATTTTACCGTCAATAACTTTTGATCGAATTGAAAATCGATATTTTTTCAATTACTTTATTTCAACACAATTTATCTCTCGCGTATTTTCTTTTTTTTTTGTTTGCTTTAAATATATATTGTATTATCGTTGATTTTATTGACCACCCCTTAATATATCAAAAATATTCATCGACACGAACTTTTTCATATAAGCAAATATTATCGTTTGATGTAATTATATATATATAAATCCTATCAGTGCAAATAATTTGATTATGATTATAATATATAAATAAAAAAAGTGGAAGAAGAATGCACAAATTAAACTGTCGATTAAACAATTTTCTACATGGTGTGATACGCGTTTGTAAGCACACGAAGGAAACAACTCGAGAACGATCAGCAAAGTGGGTCAATATCCTGGCTATGTCGGGTTGACTGCAACGTGTCATTCCACCCTGTCATTCCACCATGAGATGCCCATATTTTATAATGATATATATATATATCTCTGTAGATGATATTTCAATAAAAAAAAAAAGATAAATCAAAGTAAAAGTTAAAGGCATTCATTCGGTTAGTTAATGAAACTTCATGAAAATTGTTTTCATTTGCAATTAGCGTGTACTCTGCACACGCATATGTGTATTCGTTCATCAAGTATAGCGTGTCATTGGCAATGCATTAATCCTCATTTACTATATTTAGAAAACTTTTTTATTCCCTTTCTTTTTCTTCACTTTCTATTTTTATCTACTTATTTATCTAACTAATTAATTATTCATTTATTCCAATGCATCTACGTATATTTAATTAGCTATACATTATCTCTCTCTCTCTCTCTCTATTTTTCATACTTTTAGGAAAAAGAGCTTAAATGATTTTCCAGTAAAAGTCACAAAAGTCCCCCTAAGCTTTTTAAAAGTCCTCCGCGATATGCCATCCCGGACAGAATCTAATTACAGTTCTAACGTCAACTTTTCGTGCTTCGTTATTAACTACTAACATATATACATATATGTACATATATATATATATATACGCGAACTCTCGAGTGTTGAGGAGAGAGCTTTTGATTAATATAAAAGTAGTAATGGAAAGTAAAGCTTGTTGCATACGATCGAAACAACAATTTTACGAATTGTCCTTACACCTTTTTTATCTTAGAAAAATTAATTATCAATTATTATGTTATTAATGATTCACATATATATATATATATATATATATATATGTAGATATATCGTTTGTACCGCGATATATCGTTGGTAGGCGCGCATGCGTAAGTGCGTAAGAGAGTTTACTAATGGGATCTGGGTCAATATGCCCCTATAATATTAAACTATTCGCAATGGAGAGAAGACCACGACTACCATAGGTGATGGCACGCAAATTTTACCTACCATGTTTGAGAGAGATAGTAGATGTAGAGAAAAGGGGGAGGATAGGAGAGAATAAGGAGGGAGGAGAGGAGAGGAGGAAAGGAGGGAGGAGGGGGGTTTGCATCGATCGATGCTTTTGATTCGACGTCGTCCATTTGGAGGGAAGTGGTGGCGGAACTTTGATAGAATTTACCCTAACACTTTATATAGGAAATTCTCTTATTAGGAATGAAATTATTTGACTTATTACTTTGAGAGGAG